AACTCGAGTCGGAATCGGCCCCATTCAGCAGAGAGATTGAGAGGAAGAAAAGAGAAAGACAGAGAGAGGAGAAAGAAAGAAAGAAAGAAAGGGAAAAAGAGAGAGGGAAAGCAAGATTGAGTGTGTGAGTGCTTGTGTGCGTGCATACGTGAGTCTGGGGTTCTGAGAAAGAGATGCAGAGGGCATTCTCTTCAAAAAGCCAGGATTCAAAGATCAGGGAGTTTCAAAATGAAACAGCACTGAGGGCAGTTTGGTTTGAACTGTGTTTGTGAAAAGGACTGGGTAAGAAAGAAATTCCTGAAAAGCATTAAGTGAGTTTCTGTGTGAGAGAGGAGAGGAAAGTAGGATGAGAAATAGAGGAGGAAGGCATCGGCAGCATAGAGAGAAAACTCTGCACAAGGACTATGGAGGGATAGGACAGGGGAGGTGCAGAAGGAGCAAAGGTGTGTGCTAACATTGAGGGAGGAAGAGAAAGTAAGAAAGAGAGAGAAGAAGACAGAAAGGCAAAGAGATATTGGGACACGTAGTGGTAGAACATTGGCCTCAGGCTGTGGTACGTGCTGTGACTCCCATCTCCTCTGTTTAGGAAGCTGAGTGTGTGTGCGTGTGTATGGCAGGGGCCAGCAGTGGCCTACATACCCTGCTCACACTGGATGGCTACAGATGAACTGTGTCAGTGGCATTGTGCCCCGCCATGCCAGCTCCTTCACACACGTAATAAACACACTCCATCACCTGCTCAAGCTCAGCTGCACAGAGCAATCGCCAGCAGCCGCCCAAAGAGAGCAAATTAATTATAGATGTACGTTAAATTACTTTCATTACCTCCCCTGGTCCATGGATGGGACAGAGAGAGTGACTAATGAAATAGTGTTTCAATACCTCCTCTAGCCGTAAACGCTCTCCCCCCTCTCTCTTTCTCTCTATTGCTCCCACCCTCTCATCCTCCTTCTATTTTTCTACCCCAGCTCCTCCCTGCTCTGCACCTCCCCTCCTTTACTCCCCCTTTCTCTCCCTCTCTCTCTCACTCCTTCCCTCCCTCTGTCTATCTCAACATGGCTGACTGCTGAACAGCGGGAAACTGGTGATTATTTTTATTCCATGGAGGGCTGTGCAGAAAAAGGCAATGTCAAATGTTGGTATGAATAGATAATGCATTAAGGAATGTCTGCAGGAGGGAGATAGATAACATGGAGAGAGGGGTGGATTGTGCAAAGAAGACCAAAGTGACCCAGGATCCATCACTGCAGGATCCCTAACAGGGCCAGGCGTGAAATAGGTTCTGTCCCATGTAGGAACTGGCGGGACAGAGGAGGGGAGAGACAGATTATGGACACACTCCACAATAAGGGAAAAGGTCAACCCTGCTGTATACCATTTCTCATACAAATAATACAAAACTCACACATACAGTATGTAAGTAAAACAATAGACCCAACTGTTAAACAACTGGAGATAGCCAAGAGAAGAAACCCTTGCTATAATGTTTAAACTGGTCAATGTTTGTCAACAGGTGATATTGATTTCCTGTTTATTCATCTGGCTCAGTTGATAGTGGCCACTTTCTTCAATCGTAGGAGATTCTGCTGTCCTACATTCAAAGCAGCCTCCAAAAAGGACTAGCACTATTTATTCTAACTATAGTAGCTATTTCTGGTGTCACAAAGATGTTTCTGCACTCTGTTTTGTAATGCAATCTAAACTGGCATTTCTTGCATGGTAAAAATGTAAAACCGTACACATGGGGACATATTCTGACATTTAAGAAAGTAGTTTATCAAATCTAAGCCGTCTTTGATGAAACTTGCTTTCATATGGTTAATAATGCCAGCGCGCAGGGTACACTCCAAGGGGAATCACACATTACCAAACATCCCTTCTACAACACATAATGAAGAATCCCTGGGCTGCCTAGTATGGAAATAGCACAGGTCTGGCATTAAACTCCAGGGCAAAGGGATATTCTCTCTAAACCAATAACAAGAACATGTCATCGCCACAACAGACAGACAGAAAGACAGACTGGTTTTCCCAGAGTTGTGTCAGTGTGCTATGCTTGATCCTACAGCAGCTCTGCTTGCACATCTATGCCTATCTAATCTGTGAAGCTCGGAGAAACACAACCCATTCAATTTCTACTGCTGATAGATGGTGGTGTTCTTTGAGCCCTGAGAGAATAATAAATCCCTCCATTTCACCACGGTCCTGTCTGTGTTGCTTGTACAAGCCAACTCTAAACACATCAGATGGGCATTATTTTGTACAGAGCATAGACCAGCATTACCAGGTCTCATAAGTCAAGAAAAAAACCTATTAAACTAATATCCATCTAATTACATTTTAGGTTTTTCATCTTAAGTCTAGTTGACACCATCTTAACAAAGACAGAGACTTACATTTTCCTGTTGTATGTTAGTTCTTAACTAGAATTGACACATCAATGTGAAATGTCAATCAGTGTTGTGTGTCTTATATCATCCTCAGTTCATCATGTAAGAGAAGCATGTACATTTCTGCCCATGAAAAAACTTGTCAATGTCTTGTCAAGTACCACTAAAATACGGTACTGAGTGTACAATACATTAGGAACACCTGCTCTTTCCATGACATAGACTGACCAGGTGAATCCAGTTGAAAGCTATGATCCCTTATTGATGTCACCTGTTAAATCCACTTCAATCAGTGTAGATGAAGGGGAGGAGACATGCTAAAAAATGATTTTTAAGCCTTGAGACAATTGAGACATGGATTGTGTATGTGTGCCATTCAGAGGGTGAATGGTGCAAGACAAAATATTTAATTGCCTTTGAACGGGGTATGGTAGTACATGCCAGGCGCAACGGTTTGAGTGTGTGAAGAACTGCAACACTGCTGAGTTTTTCACGCTTAACAGTTTCCCGTGTGTATCAAGAATGGTCCACCACCCAAAGGACATTCAGCCAACTTGACACAACTGTGGGAAGCATTGGAGTCAACATGGGCCAGCATCAATGTGGAACGCTTTCGACACCTTGTAGTCCATGCCCCGACGAATTGAGGCTGATCTGTGGACAAAAGGGGGTGCAACTTAATATTAGGAAGGTGTTCCTAATGTTTTGTACACTCAGTGTTCATTGCTCCCTCTCAAGGACCACATGTTCACAACACGTTTATCATGCATTCACACCTTCATCGTGAAGATAAAACCTAATAAAGGGGACAACAAACATTACTTTATGCTTTCCTTGCCATGTCAACATGCCCTAAAAGTCTTCCACCAACCCTGTATGGAGAGGTTGGTCACTCAACCACCCCTGTGGATCCACCAGAGACTAAAGAGTTGTTCTGAGAGACAGCATGAAGGACAATGACCATGGGGCATTATGGGAACACACAGGGGGTAGATGAGGGTTGGGGTAGGGGGTCAACAGGGTGGAGGGAAAAGGGGGTGAAAAAAATTATATAATAATAAAAAGAATCTCAGACTCAGCGACTATCCCATTGTCTCTGGGGCATCCCCCACCTTGCCATGTCCCAGGACCTTGGGCTGGTGAGTGTGCATGCGAGGGTTCTAATTTATTGGCTTAGTGATTTGCTGAGTGTGTCATAGACTGCATGCGGCTCAGAGCGCTAGTCTGGAACATCCGGGCCTTGCTTCATTAGCTAGTCATGCCCTTAGCGTTGACATTTTCAAACTTGTTACACAGCTTTCTAATTGGTGTGAAAAATTGGCCACAGCTACAAACATTAATGGCTGCATGGTAAATCTGGCTTTGACACCAAGTTCTGGGCCACTGACTGTCATTTTCCTATCCTGCTGTTAATATGCTGCTAAATTGTTTTACACAGACATGGTTTTGTCTTAGCTGAATTGTAGTGGTAAAACTATAAGAAACAACAATATTATCCATTACAATATTTCTTTAAGCTAAATGTGAAGAGTTAACTTAGACACAGGTGAATGACAGTGTATTCTGAATTGTATAATTTACATCTGGTGAACTGTATTTCATATGCTGTTTTGTTATTGAAATAATTCTAATCAAATACTGAATAAGAATGATGTAATTTATTGCGGAGTACTCTACACAATCATATTAACTTCAAATACAGTCCTTCAAATACAGCTTTTAAAAAAGTTAGTTCCAGTTAGTATCTTATAACAATAAATGCATCTTTAAAAGAAAACGTAAAAAAACAGTGCATGCAAAGCTACAGCCTATCTAGACATTAATTACATTGTTGTCATCATAAACTTCATTACAGCTGAATCCGTGTTCATACATTCATTCTATGATCTGTTTTTGAAAATGTAAAAGCAGACACTTCTTTTGGTCATATAAGTGTAAACGGATCCTGAACAAGACAATAAAATGACATCATAATGTCTGTAACAGTGCATGCAACAACACGTGCCATTCTTTATCCACTCATTGTAACATCAATACAGGCGGAAGAGTAAAATGTTCATGACTACCTCAAGGCTGAAATATTACATCCTCAGTATGGACGTGAAAAACATTTCAACTGCAAAGGTTTGTTCACAGTTTTATTATTGATATAAAATATGTATTTAACTGTCATAATTCACAGAATAACACTCAATGTAACTTTAAATATAATTATTAGGTGGTTTTTGTTTATAATGTATTACTAGAGCCTGAAGTTGTCCCTGTTCACAGGAAACTGGATACTAGCTGGGACTGCTCAGGGGAGTGGCACACCTGGCTGCTCAAATAAATAAATAAAGTTCCAGAAAGGATTACACTGCTATTTGATCTCATACAGTCAGAAGTACTTTTCTCCAAACAGCCTTTGTCAGCATGGGGAAAACAGCTACAGGAGTAACCTCCTCCAAGGTTAGTAGTAGTGTTAACACATTAACAGGCACCAACATCAACAATATAATAAAATAGGATATGTGTGTGGGTGGGTGGAGGGGATATGAGATAGGCCTATACATTGATATACTGAAATCAATATAGTGTGCTTGTAAACACTGGTGTGATGGATAGTGTGTTTTAGTCTCGTTCGTCTCCCTGGGCATCTTGTTCCTTAGACTCAGGCTCTTCTCCTGCCTCTCCTTGTTCCTCTGAGGAAGGCTCTGCCCTCTCTGTCAGCCACAGACCCTGCTCCTGGTCCTGGCTCTGGCTCTCACAGCCCACCCTCACCTCTCCCTTCTCCTGCCTCCTCTCCCGCTCCAGCATCCTGTAGTTGTAGAAGTTCATAACAAAGAGGAAGAGTCCTGCGAACACCATCACCGCTCCACACATGAGGTACAGGTACTTGTAGTCACCAAAGGTGTCCACCAAGGCTCCTGCAGGGGAGCAGAGATTTTTTGGAAGGTTAAACAAAGTCTCTGTTCCTCTTATCAGATCAAAAGTTCAGTTATAGAAAGTATAGTTAGACAAGATGGCCACAAAAATCCCCCCTGCTTATAGTATCTTCCTATCAAGAGGTTGTTATGGGTTTAGGGAAGCCTTTCCCCATCTCGCTCCACAAGGTGAATCAGGAGGTGTAACATGGGTATGGTTTAATGTGCTTTTCAAACTCTGTTCTGTAGAGTAGAAGATAGGACGATCCTACTGGAGACACGTAGGAAATAACATGGAGCCATTACACCTGGCCTCGCTCGACACGGCTCTCTGGGAAGGCAATTTGGGCTGCTGCACTAGAACGAATCAGGAGTGTGGCCATGCCCATTCTGAAAACGATCAAAATCTAGCCCGCTTCAGAGGAAAAAAGTGACAAATGTAGTTTATATCAGATTGGAGCCATAAGCTTTTTGAGCCTCTTGCCTCCATCCTCCCCTGGATCGTTCTGCAGTCCTACCCATCTCACTCAGCCTCCACAGTGTGTATCTAATTATCTGTCTGTCCACCTCTCCGTCTGTGTATACTGTATAACAATCTGCAGGGTCATGCATGTCAGATCTGCTAAATTGATTAATGAAGGGGAAGATCATCTGTGACAACAGTGTACTATCCCAGGCTATTGTATGGGGAGTTTATGGTCATTGACTAATTCATTCACAATGAATAACTTGAGAAAGTATAACTTTTACAGCTGAGCACCACAACATGATTTAACCACATACTTTTTATGTATCTTATTTAACTTCCACGTGTTTGTGCAATGAGACATTGCCTTTGATTGCGCTCTGCATTTCAAACTTTTATAGGAGTGTTTACCTGTAATGGACTCATTTCCAGCAAACTTCAGTTACTAATGGTCAATTACTGAGTCTGTCATTATTGAGTCATCTGGGAGACACAATCAACAACACTAAACACCCACTATACATAAACACAAAGTTAGGTTGTTAAATGGAGGGGCAGTTTTCAGGTTAGGTAAACCAATTAAAAGACTGGTCTTAATGAGTACATTTTCAATGAAGCTGATATGACGGGGGCATTAATTTGTCTCTCTCGTGTGTGTGTGTGTGGGGGGTTACTTTGCTCATGGTCCAGTAAAGGGGGGGGGGGGGGGGGGGGGGTCACTTTGTCCATGGTCCAGTATAAAGCAGCAACAGGGACATGGTCTGATTGATGGCGTTCTGTCCTGTGGCGTATGCAGATAACCGTCACCCTAATTAAGGCAGCCCTTGATTGGCTGAATGGTAATTAAGTCCATCTGGCGTGGTCACCTCTTTTCTAAATGCATTCATGGCTTCATTATGTTCAAGTTACGGGAGTCTGATGAGTGAAGTGAAGTCTGAACTGAGATTCCATTAAACACAGAAAGCAAAAGGCTAATTACACCAATTACCTCACTTCCTCCTAATTAGGCTGACCCCCAGGTTAGGGCAGAGGCACGGCGCAGCATGACGAGGCTGGCCGTAACGAGGAGACTTGTAAGGGGAAACGTAAAGACTCTGCCCTCTGGAGAAGAATGCTCAACGTGCAGGGAGATGCTTATTTACCTCCATTAAATGAGCACCTCAGAATGGGGTCGGACAAAACAACCAGGAGGCTATACATTTACACCTCATTAAAACTCTGCAGAGGAGAGAGAAGCATAGGAATGACAACAAACGTGATCCTGCTTTTACCCGACAGACAAGACCATAGGATCTCTATGGACTAGGCAGACAACCAGTTTGTCTGGGGAACAGAAGTGTGTTCTGCCATTTCAGAGACTGTGAAATGAGAGGGACTCTATGAGGAGAACATTTGTATTATGTCAGAGGAAGCCCACAGGTGGTTCAAAGACCATAAGCAAGTTCACGTCCATGGAAATGTGCTTTTTAACAGTTTGGGCTGAGCAGAGAATGTTAGCATTGTTAGTTCTCCTCTGTGCTAAATAAGATCAAAGTTGACAGTAGGAGATGAAGTTTTGAAACGTTGTGCTATCCCTGGCAATCTCAGGGAAATATGGGGGGAGAACAATACCTTTTTGATTACACACAAAAAAGCATGAAAGGAAATGGTTCTGAGTAAAACACACTGCCTGTGGTAAAAGAAAATAGGCCCCGTCTCAGAATAACCTTACACAATGATTCCTGATGTTCATTTAATCAGTAGTAAGCTATTATGTGGAAAGGCCTCCTCTTAAACCTTAGAACCAGATCTATGACATTGTTTTAATAGTAAAGTGTACTAGATTGTGCTTGCTAATTAGGATTTGGGGTTAAGGTCAATCACTTACAGTATATCTTTAATTCTCCATGAACTTATCGTCAGCTATTCAAATGTAAACTGTAACTCTCCAAGCTTTTGTTTGCAGCCAGTGGCAGTAGAGGTCTATTGGCCGTATACTCTAGGCCGAGGGGACCTGGTAAAGAGAGAAGGGGAAAATAGACAGCGATAGAGTCGCAGAGAGACCTTCATTACCCTTACGGCTTCTTAGCTCCGAAAAATGTTCCATAATTTGTGTGGAGGATGAATCCTCTAGCGGGCGTGCCCTGAAAGCCGGAGCGGCCCGGCTTATTTACAGCAGTAAATAACCGTGACCAATTACTGCTTTTCTCTGGGCGGGCCGTGCGCTCTGGGCCGCCCTGCTCACCGATGATAATCCAATTCTACTGGAATGTCTTACAATAATGACACCCTGGAAAGAAGTTGGGCTCCACTCCACCACCATACAGCATGCAGCGCACGACCATGACAAGGAGCAGAGTGAGGAAGAGAGCAACAACTGACTAGCTGCTTTTTCTGCTTCAAATAAATTCTGTTTTATTTACCAAACGTCTTCTAAAGTAGGACTTTTCCTTCTCTCGAGTGCATGTGTAACGCTGGGATAGTACTGTCAGCCATGTACTGAATGACAATGGAGAGGTGGTTTTAGGGGAACTGGAGGGAGAGTGTTTACCATAGTTAAATAGTGCTTGTCCTTTTGTCAATAGGTTCTGTTGGCTAAAGCTGTTAGTTGTCTATGAGCTGTATGTGTATTGACTTTGGAGAAGGAGAGGGACTGTGGGCTGTGTCCAGTGTGTAGGCTTACCTCCTATAGGTGGTCCCAGGAGCACAGGGCCGCACTCTATGATGGTGGCCAATCCCACTGCACTAGAGAACCGCTGAGGCCCCACCAGGTCCATGAGCGTCTCAAACAGCAGGGCACACACCATGCCAAACGCTATGCCAAAGAACACTGAGTAGGCCACCAGCCCCCAGTACCCACTGGCCAAGGGGCACAGCAGGTGGCACATACCATTATAAATTATGGCAAAGCTGAAGAAGTACTGGATCCTGGGCCTGATCCACTTAGTGTTAGCTATCAGCCCAGTCCCCGGCCTGGCAAACATGTCCACGAAGCCCATGACGGAGAGGAGGAAGGCGGAGGAGTACTCATCAAAGCCATGGCTCCGGGCGTACGGGGCCAGGAACACTACAGGGGCGAAGAAACCAAAGAACATCACTGTGTTCCCTATGATGTAGATCAGAAAGCCCCTGTGCTTGAAGAGCGAGAGGTCCAGAAACTTGTTGAAGTTTTCCATACAGCCTTTCTCCAGTTGTGTGTTGTGTCCATTCAACTGGGCCTCAGACCGGTCCGTGGGAGGTTTCTTTGGGGATCCTTTTGTCTGCGTGAGTTGGCCTCCAGTTGGCTTTGGATAAATGGGCCTCATGAGAGAGCCGGCAACACAGCAGTTGAGCAGTAGAGCTCCCAGGATGAAGAAACTGCCCCTCCAGCCAAAGTGGTTAAACAGGAACTGGTTGATAGGTGCTAAGGTACAGAGGAAGACTGGACTTCCTGCCATGGCCAGCCCATTGGCTAACGGCCTCTTGACCTGGAAGTACTTCCCAATGATGGTGAGGGACGGCTGGAGGTTAAAGGAGAGTCCAAACCCTGCAGAAGATACAAGAGAGGAGAGTAGTCATGTTCACATGTCATATTTTCAGAGGCTACAACTTAAAACGCCTGGTGCTGCAGGATTAAATTAAGACCATTCTACTTTGTGCACATTAAGGTTCCATCTCATTTCACATTGCCAACTAAAATCTCATTAAGGGAAGCTGGAACATTTTCAGAAATTACAGACTCCAGTTAAATCATTCACTACCACCACCTTTCCCAAAAATCCAATTTAGTAACATTTCAGCCCGTAAATGAGCATCTTATTCTCTAAATGAGTCTCCACTTTAAGATGAAGAGCTCCAGTTAGCGACCCTGACTGACCCATTCCATCATTCTAACGACTGCTAAATGTCTGCTGCTCACAATCCCCCACTGAACAATGCCCACTGAGCTACACAACTTCCAAAGCCTTATTTGAGGAAGTTCACAGATATAAATAGTTCTCAGAATGCATTCTTTCTTGATTGAAAAGTACATAATGCTAACACAAGACTTAATGCAAGGTAGATATCCCAGCTCCACAGGAGATTTTGATTAGTTTTCATCTTCATTGTTTTAAGAGTTTTGGTCAACAATTATCTCGGTTTCAACTTGATTGAATTGGGACGCTCTTTAAAGTACACCGATTAGAAATGAATACTCCTTGTATTTGTTATTTGGCTCTTTGAGAGGGTACAGAGGAAGTTCTCTTCAACTTAACTGGTTGCTGCATACAGAAATAATATCTAATTTACATAAGTATTCACACCCCTGAGTCAAAACATGTTAGAATCACCATCGGCAGCGATTACAGCTGTGAGTCTTTCTGGGTAAGTCTCTAAGAGCTTTGCACACCTGGATTGTACAATATTTACACATTATAATTTGTTTAATTCTTCAAGCTCTGTCAAGTTGGTTGTTTATCATTGCTAGACAGCCATTTTCAAGTCTTGCCATAGATTTTTAAGCAGATTTAAGTCAAAACTAACTAGGCCACTCAGGAACATTCAATGTCATCTTGGTAAGCAACTCCAGTGTATATTTGGCCTTGTGTTTTCAGTTATTTTCCTGCGGAAAGGTGAATGTCTCCCAGTGTCTGCTGGAAAGCAGACTGAACCAGGTTTTCCTCTAGGATCTTGCCTGTGCTAAGCTCTATTTCCTTTAGTTTTAATCCTAAAAAACTCCCTCGTCCTTGCTGATGACAAGCATACCCATAACATGATGCAGCCACCACCATGCTTGAAAATATGAAGAGTGGTACTCAGTTATGTGTTGGATTTGCCCCAAACAAAACACTTTGTATTCAGGACAAATAGTTAATTTCTTTGCCACAATTTTTGCAGTTTTACTTTAGTGCCTTATTGTAAACAGGATGCATGTTTTGGAATATTTGTATTCTGTACAGGCTTCCTTCTTTTCACTCTGTCATTGCCTCCTGAGTGGCGCAGTGGTCTAAGGCCACTAGAGATCCTGGTTCGAATCCAGGCTCTGTCGTAGCCGGCCGCGACAGGGAGACCCATGGGGCGGCGCACAAGTTGTCCAGGGTAGGAGAGGGAATGGCTGGCAGGGATGTAGCTCAGTTGGTAGAGCATGGTGTTTGCAACGCCAGGGTTGTGGGTTCGATTCCCACGGGGGGCCAGTATGAAAAAATTAAAATAATAATGTATGCACTCACTAACTGTAAGTCGCTCTGGATAAGAGCGTCTGCTAAATGACTAAAATGTACATTTAGGTTAGTATTGTTGAGTAACTACAATGTTGTTGATCCATCCTCAGTTTTCTCTTATCACAGCGATTAAAATCTCTGTAACTGTTTTAAAGTCACCATTGCCCCATGGTGAAATCCCTGAGCGGTTTCATTCCTCTTCGGCAACTGATTTAGGAAGGACACCTTTATCTTTGTAGTGACTGGGTGTATTGATACACCATCCAAAGTGTACTGAATAACTTCACCATGCTCAAAGGGATATTCAATGTCTGCATATATTATTTTTTTTACCCATCTACCAATAGGTGCCCTTCTTTGCGAGGCATTGGAAAACCTCCCTGGTCTTTGTGGTTGAATCTGTGTTTGAAATTCACTGCTTGACAGAGGGACCTTACAGATAATTGTATGTGTGGGGTACAGGGATGAGGTAGTCATTCAAAAATCATGTTAAACACTTATTGCACACAGAGTTAGTCCATGCAACTTATTTTGTGACTTGTTAGCACATTTTTACTCCTGAACTTATTTAGGCTTGCCATTTCTTTTTTTTGTAATTTGTAAACATTTCTAAAAACATTATTCCACTTTGACATTATGGGGTATGCCAGTGACACAAAATCTCAATTTAATCCATTTAAAATTCAGGCTGTAACAACAACATTTGGAAAAAGTCAAGGGGTGTAAATACTTTCTGAAGGCACTGTATGTGTATGTGAGAGAGGGATGTGTGTCTTAGCCTAGTATGTCTCAGTGGGCCAGGGCAATGAGGATGAGGAGAAGTTAGGACACAACACAAAGCCCTATAACCACCTCCTCCCTCTATTAATCCTCCAGGCCTACAGCTCTGTGGCTGGTTAATGAGTCTCACTGGGTGGCGGTTGGCAGCCACTACCATGAGGGGACCAGAACGGGAGCCTATGGGAGACAACAGGGGGCCCTGGTAAACCATGCTCTGCGGGAACCGGAATGGCACTGTTCTAATTACACATGCGCTGTCCCCCCAGTGCACCGGCCACAACCCAGAGGCTGAGACTTCCCAGCCTGGACCCAGACAGACAGCATGCCAGCCCAGCCAGGGAGACCAGGGCCACCCAGGGAGGATGTGTACCCCCATAGGAGCACCGCCAGGGCTGGTTGAGGGCTGGGAGAGGGCTGGTCTAGCGGCAGGGTAAACAAGTCTAAGCCCCTGTCGAGACTATTTCATTTACACTTTACTTCACATACACAACACATCCCACCAGTCCGGCTATTGTCCCAGATGTCTTTCCTGAACCCTTATATCTAATGTTGTGTTTTAGGTTTAATGAATCAACTACATTATCTTCAATAGGACCAACAATTATAATTATTTAGTGTTACACATTTAAAGCACACAGTAAGCTTATGGATTAGGCCTACAGAAATGATGATTATAGTTGACTTAGTTAAAAAACAAGTGATTTTTGTTTCTGTTGAGTATGATTTGGCCCACACACAAACATCAAATCACAAAACAAGCCATGTCAATCAAATGTATGAAATGAGGGGTACCTCCAATGACTCCTACGCATATGTACAAATGCGTAATGGTATTGCCGAAAGAAGCAGTTACCATAGCAACGCCACACATCACTCCACCAGCTAGGACCACAGGCCGGCTTCCATAGCGATTGACCAGAATACTGCTGATAGGTCCTGCGAAGGAAAAGAGTGAGAGAGTAGAGAGAAGAAGGGGAGAGAAAGTGTCAGTCTTATGTTCATACAGCATTGAGATAATGGTTAGGCAGTTGACATCTGACCAGTAGATCCCTACCAAAACCTAACCCTTCATCCCCATTCATTACCCCTAACGCACTGTCGGTCAAATATCCATACATAGTAACTTATGTCTAAAAGGGTGTGAAGGGGTAGCTGATGTTCTAAATAGTTATCTTATCTACATAAGCAAAGCAGGCCAGTGACTCACAAGCATTTCTCCTGATAATGTTCCCGCAAAAACAGTGATTGATCAATCAGTAATTAAATATCCTTCTATATTCAGTCTCTATTCTTCATTCATAACCCTGCCACAGAGAACACATAGAACAGTCCTTTAGCATCACACAACGCAACACCCACTTCTGTTCCCTGCTAAAACCAAAGGATTTAAATAGTTGCTCAATCATTCCCCGCAATTCATTAAAGAGAAAAAAAAAGAGGGAGCGTCAATCAAGAAAATATGTAGGCTGCCACGATTATTGGAATCTCAACATGCTGCCTTACTAGTCAGTGCTGGAATGAGACTCTGCAAGGAGGGTGATAATTGAAAATTCATAGTAAAAAATAAGCGGATTAGTTTGGCAGACAGCAGCTATTTCAATCGCAAGTTTATGACTGATGATTAATCTGAATAAAATAACTAATGCCGTTATTTTTACCACTCTAAAAAAAACACATTTTAAATAATTGTTGTTTACTTACATAGCTCGTGATTTATGCAAATGTATTCCAAATATATATATATATATTTTTTTTTTAATCACGTCTAGTATACAGTGCATTCGGAAAGTATTCAGACCCTTTGACTTTTTCCACATTTTGTTACGTTACAGCCTTGTTCTAAAATGGATTAAATTGTATTTTTTCCCTCATCAAGCTACACACAATACCCCATAATGACAAAGCAAAAACAGGTTTTTAGAAATTTTAGCAAATGTATAAAACAAAAAAAATACGTAAATATCACATTTAAATAAGTATTCAGACCCTTTACTCAGTACTTTGTTGAAGCACCTTTGGCAGCGATTACAGCCTTGACTCTTCTTGGGTATGACACTACAAGCTTGGCACATCTGTATTTGGGGAGTTTCTCCCATTCTTCTCTGCAGATCCTCTCAAGCTCTGTCAGGTTGGATGGGGAGCATCGCTGCATAGCTATTTCAGGTCTCTCCTGAGATGTTCGATCGGGTTCAAGTCCGGGCTCTGGCTGAGCCACTAAAGGACATTCAGAGACTTGTCCAGAAGCTACTCCTGCGTTGTCTTGGCTGTGTGCTTAGGGTCGTTGTCTTGTTGGAAGGTGAACCTTCGCCCCAGTCTGAGGTCCTGAGCGCTCTGGAGCAGGTAATCATCAAGGAACTCTCTGTACTTTGCTCTGTTCATCTTTCCCTTGATCCTGACTAATCTCCCAGTCCCTGCTGCTGAAAAACATCCCCACAGCATGATGCTGCCACCACCATGCTTCACCATAGGGATGGTGCCAGGTTTCCTCCAGACGTGATGCTTGGCATTCAGGCCAAAGAGTTCAATCATGGTTTCATCAGACCAGATAATCTTGTTTCTCATGGCCTGAGTCCTTTAGGTGCCTTTTGGCAAACTCCAAGCGGGCTGTCATGTGCCTTTTACTGAGAAGTGGCTTCCGTCTGGCCACTCTACCATAAAGACCTGATTGGTGGAATGCTGCAGAGATGGTTGTCCTTCTGAACGGTTCTCACATCTCCACAGAGGAACTCTGGAGCTCTGTCAGAGTGACCATCGGGTTCTTGGTCACCTCCCTGACCAAGGACCTTCTCCCCCGATTGCTCAATTTGGCCGGTCGGACAGCTCTAGGAAGTCTTGGTGGTTCCAAACTTATTCCATTTAAGAATGATGGAGGCCACTGTTCTTGGGGACCTTCAATGCCGCAGAAATATTTTGGTACCCTTCCCCAGATCTGTGCCAGGACACAATCCTGTCTCGGAGCTCTACGGACAATTCCTTCAACCTCATGGCTTGGTTTTTGCTCTGATATGCACTGTCAACTGTGGGACCTTATATAGACAGGTGTGTCCCTTTCCAAATCATGTCCAATCAATTGAATTTACCACAGGTGGACTCATCTCAAGGATGATCAATGGAAACAGGATGCACCTGAGCTCAATTTCAAGTTTCATAGCAAATGGTTTGAATACTTACAGTACCAGTCAAAAGTTTGGACACGCTTACTCAGTCCATGGTTTTTCTTAATTGTTTACTATTTTCTACATTGTAGAATAATAGTGAATATATCAAAACTATGAAAAAACACATATGGAATCATGTAGTAACCAACAACTTGTTAATCAAATCAAAATATATTTTATATTTGAGATTCTTCAAAGTAGCCACCCTTTGCCTTGATGACAGCTTTGCACATTCTTGGCATTCTCTCAACCAGCTTCATGATGTAGTCACCTGGAATGCATTTCAATTAACAGGTGTGCCTTGTTAAAAGTTAATTTGTGGAATTTATTTCCTTCTTAATGCGTTTGAGCCAATCAGTTGTGTTGTGACAAGGTAGGGGGGTATACAGAAGATAGCCCTATTTGGTAAAAGACCAAGTCCATATTATGGCAAGAACAGCTCAAATAAGCAAAAAGAAACGACAGCCCATCATTACTTTAAAACATGAAGGTCAGTCAATACGGAACATTTCAAGAACTTTGAAAGTTTCTTAAAGTGCAGTCACAAAAACCATCAAGCGCTATGATGAAACTGGCTCTCATGAGGACGCCACAGGAATGGAACACCCAGAGTTACCTCTGCTGCAGAGGATAAGTTCATTAGAGTTACCAGCCTCAGAAATTGCAGCCCAAATAAATGCTTCACAGAGTTCAAGTCACAGACACATCTCAACATCAACTGTTCAGAGGAGACTGTGTGAATCAGATCTTCATGGTCAAATTGCTGCAAAGAAACCACTACTAAAGGACACCAATAAGAAGAAGAGACTTGCTTGGGCCAAGAAACACGAGCAATGGACATTAGACCGGTGGAAATTTGTCCTTTGGTCTGGAGTACGAATTGGAGATTTTTGGTTCCAACCGCCGTGTCTTTGTGAGACAAGGTGTGGGTGAAGGAATGATCTCTGCATGTGTATTTCCCACTGTAAAGCATGGAGGAGGAGGTGTTATGGTGTGGGGGTGCTCTGCTGGTGACACTGTCTGTGATTTATTGAGATTTCAAGGCACACTTAACTAGCATGGCTACTACAGCATTCTGCAGCGATACACCATCCCATCTGGTTTGGGCTTAGTGGGACTATCATTTGTTTTTCAACAGGACAATGACCCAACACACCTCCAGGCTGTGTAAGGGCTATTTTACCAAGAAGGAGAGTGATGGAGTGTTGCATCAGATGACCTGGCCTCCACAAACCCCCGACCTCAACCAAATTGAGATGGTTTGGGATGAGTCGTACCGCAGAGTGAAGGAAAAGCAGCCAACAAGTGCTCAGCATATATGGGAACTCCTTCAAGACAGTTGGAAAAGCATTCCAGGTGAAGCTGGTTGAGAGAATGCCAAGAGTGTGCAAAGCTTTCATCAAGGCAAAGGGTGGCTATTTGAATAATCTCATATATATTTTGATTTGTTTAACACTTTTTTGGTTACTACATGATTACAAATGTGTTTTTTCATAGTTTTGATGTCTTCACTATTATTCTACCCTTGAATTAGTAGGTGTTCTAAAACTTTTGACCGGTAGTGTAGATAAAAAAAGATACACTTGTTCATGTACCCATCTACAAGATATCGCAACAATTTCTGGATTATTCAATAAAAAATGTAATCTGAGCAGTGCCCTTGCTTGAACAGTTTAGCAAACTTCAGTCAAGATAGGGACTATGGGTACAGTGAGGGAAAAAAGTATTTGATCCCCTGCTGATTTTGTACGTTTGCCCACTGACAAAGACATGATCAGTCTATAATTTTAATGGTAGGTTTATTTGAACAGTGAGAGACAGAATAACAACAACAAAATCCAGAAGAACGCATGTCAAAATTTTTATAAATGTATTTGCATTTTAATGAGGGAAATAAGTATTTGACCCCTCTGCAAAACATGACTTAGTACTTGGTGGCAAAAACCCTTGTTGGCAATCACAGAGGTCAGACGTTTCTTGTAGTTGGCCACCAGGTTTGCACACATCTCAGGAGGGATTTTATCCCACTCCTCTTTGCAGATCTTCTCCAAGTCATTATGGTTTCGAGGCTGACGTTTGGCAACTCGAACCTTCAGCTCCCTCCACAGATTTTCTATGGGATTAAGGTCTGGAGACTGGCTAGCCCACTCCAGGACCTTAATGTGCTTCTTCTTGACCCACTCCTTTGTTGCCTTGGCCATGTGTTTTGGGTCATTGTCATGCTGGAATACCCATCCACAACCCATTTTCAATGCCCTGGCTGAGGGAAGGAGGTTCTCACCCAAGATTTGACGGTACATGGCCCCGTCCATCGTCCCTTTGATGCGGTGAAGTTGTCCTGTCCCCTTAGCAGAAAAACACCCCCAAAGCATAATGTTTCCACCTCCATGTTTGACGGTGGGGATGGTGTTCGTGGGGTCATAGGCAGCATTCCTCCTCCTCCAAACACGGCAAGTTGAGTTGATGCCAAAGAGCTCGATTTTGGTCTCATCTGACCACAACACTTTCACCCAGTTCTCCTCTGAATCATTCAGATGTTCATTCAGACGGGCCTGTATATGTGCTTTCTTGAGCAGGGGGACCTTGTGGGTGCTGCATGATTTCAGTCCTTCACGGCGTAGTGTGTTACAATTGTTTTCTTGGTGACTATGGTCCCAGCTGCCTTGAGATCATTGACAAGATCCTCCCGTGTAGTTCTGGGCTGATTCCTCACCGTTCTCATGATCATTGCAACTCCACGAGATGAGATCTTGCATGGAGCCCCAGGCCGAGGGAGATTGACAGTTCTTTTGTGTTTCTTCCATTTGCAAATAATCGCACCAACTGTTGTCAGATGCTTGGCGATGGTCTTGTAGCCCATTCCAGCCTTGTGTAGGTCTACAATCTTCTCCCTGACATCCTTGGAGAGCTCTTTGGTCTTGGCCATGGTGGAGAGTTTGGAATCTGATTGATTGATTGCTTCTGTGGACAGGTGTCTTTTATACAGGTAGCAAGCTGAGATTAGGAGCACTCCCTTTAAGAGTGTGCTCCTAATCTCAGCTCGTTACCTGTATAAAAGACACCTGGGAGCCAGAAATCTTTCTGATTGAGAGGGGGTCAAATACTTATTTCCCTCATTAAAATGCAAATCAATTTATAACATATTTGACATGCGTTTTTCTGGATTTTTTTGTTGTTATTCTGTCTCTCACTGTTCAAATAAACCTACCATTAAAATTATAGACTGATAATTTCTTTGTCAGTGGGCAAACGTACACAAAATCAGCAGGGGATCAAATACTTTTTTCCCTCACTGTATGTATTGCATAGATCACATCCTCCCAGTTCCTGTGTTACTTTGGGGTGGCATCCCAGACATCACCATTTTCCCTCCCATTATAACTTTATCACTCTGGCTCCCTAAGTCATAGGTCCCCTGAAATGATGTCACGTCTGTCCCATTGGGACTTGGTGCGAGGCCCAAATGTGCTGAACCCATGACTGATATATTCCCCCTGTCTTTTTTCAACTGGGTGACATTGCAAAAGCTGAGCCAAGGACAATATGATAAAGCCATGTGCCTCTGCCACTGAGAACGGGAATATTTCACAGGATTCTCTGTGCTGGTGACTGCAGGCGAGTCAGGCGCCCTTTCATCTTTTAACCTTGCAGCCACTGATGGATACCACAAACTTCAATTGGATCATTCTATTATAATATCTCAGTGTCATCTAATGAGTCATGTAAGACGCCTTATAACATATCATTAATAAATTCAGGCCCAGGTGTTGAGGAACAACAGTGATTTCTAAGACGGTTGTTCTTTCCTATTGTGACATGGACCACTCATGTTGGTCATTCATCACACCAGGTCCCATCAAGGCTTGCGGCACAGACTGACAATTATCAATACAAATGCTCATGCAAACAGAGCAAGGGTAAACAAAACAAAAAACAATGTTTGCAACTGACAGACAGTCTAGATATTTGTGCCCTGGATCAACACTCCATGTTGGCCAACTGAACACGCCCCAGGGTGAATCCCCTACTGCCTCAGGGCCCCATTGATAAGTGAAAGAGTGGCTTTGTTTAAATACCCAAATTCGTGTCAGGTGTAAAATCACATGAATAACCTATTTCAAACCCTTCCATATAAAGCCTAACACTAGGCAGCAAGATGCAGCCACTGGTCAATGAGTTTCTTTAATTCTATTTATTTACAGGTTTCCAAAATGAGAGGTTGCTTTGTCAAAGCTCATTAGAGTAAAGCAAGAGACAGCAAGCTTCTTATTCTATGCTTATTCTATCAGCATGATGAAGTCGGTTGCAATTGCTTGGCTTTCATCTCAAATAGCCTACTACTGTATTTTCTTCAACTAGTAGACTTACTAAATAAACTACAAACATAGATGTTATTATCCCTGAATAATACATATGATTTTAGGGAAGAGATGACTGCACAAAGACTTCACTTCTTAGGCTGTCATAGTCATTTGAACACAGTAGTACTCATTCTTCTTGATTAGTTACAGCTACTACACTCAGTCCTCACATGGAAGATACAGGCCTACATTTTGGGGATGAAAAAAACAAGCAACTGCAACGCTCCATACAAGACATACATCCCTTAATACAATCTGTGCATTGTGGTCCTCATGTGACTCAATGCTGGCTCAGAGCTGCTTGACTACATGCATGCCTACTCACCACCGGCATACATGGCTGCCAGCATAATGGAGGAGATCCATGCTATCTGGCTGTAGGAGGCACCGAAGATCAGCTGGATGTCTTTGAAGAAGACTGTGAGGGCTTTGGGGAAGGCATACGAGAAGCCAATGGAGATGAAGGCCCCAAACACCACGGCCCAGCCCCAGCCCCCGTCCGGAGGGACGTACCCCAGAGTAGATGCTGGTGCAGGGGACATGTTTCTGTCGATAGAGGAGAAGATGATGATGAAGTTTACACTCCGGATCAAAGTGTTTCATGACAACAAAAAACATGATCTTGAATGTACCTTTTTTCAGTAAACCGACAAAATCACCACAGGAAAAACAGTCAAATCATCACTTTGTTTTCCCAAACCATAATTGTTTGACCCAGGTATTGTCTCTGTTTGGTATTTACACACATGTAAAGTGAAAAGTTACTGCTGTCACAGAGAGGAGCATGTAGGCCTAACCTCTTTAGTGATTTGATTAGTTTCAAGTCATTCGGGATATCAACTTAATGCTGTTGAGTGTATGGGCAGTTTTCCCTTTTGTTATGTCATTAAATGAGACCTTTGAGAGCTATTTATAACCTGTCAGAAATGTACAGTTGATCAACTAGCCCATATTAGCTAGGTAGGTAAGTTAGGCTAACCTTTTGAACTCTTGTAGACTAGTTATCATGGCCTGATTACGTGCCTAGGGGCCTCAACCCCCAGGGAACCTATATTGATTTTGTTGAGACACTCAGCTATCATATAAACACATAAGACATGTCAAGAACTGCAGGAAATTAGCTTTAAAATGGCAAAATGTTCTCTATGCCCCATGGCAAAATGGGTAGAATTTTAGTAAATTAGCTTTTCATTTTTTTATTCTCTGAAAACATCAGGGGTGTGAACAGTTTAGGGTTGCATGAGTTGCGAGGTGGGGTTTTGTTAGTACGCCAGAAATGACAAATCCATCCGGAATTTTGCAACGTAGGGCATTTGTGTGACCGGACCTTCTCAAATAGTATTTGAGTACCCCTGGGCTATACAATAAAACCTTTGATGCATAGGCTTATGCTACACATATTTTTATTCCTTGTTCCTCACCCTCCAATCCAACAGGTCCCAGACGTGTTCAATGGGATTGAAATCCGGGCTCTTCGCTGGCCATGGCAGAACACTGACATTCCTGTCTTGCAGGAAATCACGCACAGAACGAGCAGTATGGCTGGTGGCATTGTCATGCTGGAGGGTCATGTCAGGATGTGCCTGCAGGAAGGGTACCACGAGGGAGGAGGATGTCTTCCCTGTAACGCACAGCGTTGAGATTGCCTGCAATGACAACAAGCTCAGTCCGATGATGCTGTGACACACCGCCCCAGACCATGACGGACCCTCCACCTCCAAATCGATCCAGCTCCAGAGTACAGGCCTCGGGTGTAACGCTCATTCCTTCGACGATAAACACGAATCCGACCATCACCCCTGGTGAGACAAAACCGTAACTCGTCAGTGAAGAGCACTTTTTGCCAGTCCTGTCTGGTCCAGCGACGGTGGGTTTGTGCCCATAGGCAACGTTGTTTCCGGTGATGTCTGGTGAGGACCTGCCTTACAACAGGCCTACAAGCCCTCAGTCCAGCCTCTCTCAGCCTAATGCGGACAGTCTGAGCACTGATGGAGGGATTGTACATTCCTGGTGTAACTCGGGCAGTTGTTGTTGCCATCCTGTACCTGTCCCGCAGGTGTGATGTTCGGATGTACCGATCCTGTGCAGGTGTTGTTACACGTGGTCTGCCACTGCGAGGACGATCAGCTGTCCGTCCTGTCTCTCTGTAGCGCTGTCTTCAAATCAAATCAAATCAAATTTTATTGGTCACATGCGCCGAATACAACAGGTGCAGACATTACAGTGAAATGCTTACTTACAGCCCTTAACCAACAGTGCATTTATTTTAAACAAAAAAAGTAAGAATAAAACAACAACAAAAAAAGTGTTGAGAAAAAAAGAGCAGAAGTAAAATAAAGTGACAGTAGGGAGGCTATATATACAGTAAAATAAAGTGACAGTAGGGAGGCTATATATACAGGGGGGGTACCGTTGCAGAGTCAATGTGCGGGGGCACCGGCTAGTTGAGGTAGTTGAGGTAATATGTACATGTGGGTAGAGTTAAAGTGACTATGCATAAATACTTAACAGAGTAGCAGCAGCGTAAAAAGGATGGGGTGGGGGGGCAGTGCAAATAGTCCGGGTAGCCATGATTAGCTGTTCAGGAGTCTTATGGCTTGGGGGTAGAAGCTGTTGAGAAGTCTTTTGGACCTAGACTTGGCACTCCGGTACCGCTTGCCGTGCGGTAGCAGAGAGAACAGTCTATGACTAGGGTGGCTGGAGTCTTTGACAATTTTGAGGGCCTTCCTCTGACACCGCCTGGTATAGAGGTCCTGAATGGCAGGGAGCTTTGCCCCAGTGATGTACTGGGCCGTACGCACTACCCTCTGTAGTGCCTTGCGGTCAGAGGCCAAGCAGTTGCCATACCAGGCGGTGATGCAACCAGTCAGGATGCTCTCGATGGTGCAGCTGTAGAATTTTTTGAGGATCTGAGGACCCATGCCAAATATTTTTAGGTGTCTCACAGCACGGACATTGCAATTTATTGCCCTGGCCACATCTGCAGTCCTCATGCCTCCTTGCAGCATGCCTAAGGCACGTTCACACAGATGAGCAAGGACCCTGGGCATCTTTCTTTTGGTGTTTTTCAGAGTCAGTAGAAAGGCCTCTTCAGTCTCCTAAGTTTTCATAACATTGACCTTAATTGCCTACCGTCTGTAAGCTGTTAGTGTCTTAACGATCGTTCCACAGGTGCATGTTCATTAATTGTTTATGGTTCATTGAACAAGCATGGGAAACAGTGTTTAAACCCTTTACAATGAAGATCTGTGAAGTTATTTGGATTTTTACTAATTATCTTTGAAAGACAGGGTCCAGAAAAAGGGACGTTTCTTTTTTTGCTGAGTTTATATAATAATAATAACAATAATAAAACACACACACAGTGTACAAAACATTAGGAACACCTGCTTTTTCCATGACAGACTGACCAGATGAATACAGGTAAAATCTATGATCCCTTATTGATGTCACTTGTTAAATCCACTTCAAATCAGTGTAGATGAAGGGGAGGAGACAGGTTAAAGAAGGATTTTGAAGCCTTGAGACAATTGAGACATGGATTGTGTATGTGTGCCATTCAGAGGGTGAATGGGCAATACAAAATATTTAAGTGCCTTTGAACGGGGTATGGTAGTAGGTGCCAGGCGCACTGGTTTGAGTGTGTCAAGAACTGCAACGCTGCTGGGTTTTTCATGCTCAACAGTTTCCCATGTGTATCAAAAATGTTCCACCACCCAAAGGACATCCAGCCAACTTGACACAACTGTGGGAAGCATTGGAGTCAACATTGGCCAGTATTCCTGTGGAACGCTTTCGACACCTTGTAGAGTCCATGACCCGATGAATTGAGGCTGTTTTGAGGGCAAAAAGGGGGGAAGGGGGGTTGCAACTCAATATTAGGAAGGTGTTCCTCATTATTTGTACACTCATATACATACACAAACTATATATACAAATGTGGACACCCCTTCAAATTAGTGGATTCGGCTATTTCAGCCACACCTGTTGCTGACAGGTGTATAAAATCGGGCACACAACATTCATAGACAAAAATTGGCAGTAGAATGCCCTTCCTGAAGCGCTCAGTGACTTTCAACGTGGCACGGTCATAGGATGCCACCTTTCTAACATGGGCGGTGTGTTCAATAGGGCGATATGGGCGACGCACTGCCAAACGGGAAAAGGAAGGGATTTTTTTTCTAATCAATTATATCATGGCAACAGTAGTTCAGTGTTCACGTCTGATCTGCCAGCCACTAAATGTCCAATCAGGCTAAAGTCGTGCTTCAAATGTCCCCGCCCGTTTTGGGGCGATTTCAGTCAGGTTGAAAATCGCCCAGAAGTCTCTCATAGCCTCTAATAATTTCTGAGCTTTCAATACATTCTCTATGGGTGTCTGAGGGCTTGCGTCATACGTAACGTAACGTAACCATGAACGGCAGACAGCAACGCTTGGACAGCGACTGGTGTAACCGACATGCACCATCTTTCAGAAAAGATTAAGAAAAATGAGCTGTCAAAGACCCACATTGATAGCTGTTTGAGATTGTCTGCTTTGGTGAGAGTGAATATTGCCACTCAACTGGATGAGGGATACAGGCTAGCTGTCCGCCGCCACAACGATGAGGTTAGCAACAGCAGAGTCGTGAACACTGTCTACGAGAATCGAGACGACCTCATAGAATGTTTTGAAGCCATCCGGACGGGTTCATTGGGTTCATTTGACCAGCCCACCGTACCAGAAGCTACAGAATAAGGACATCGATGCTGTCTTTATCAAACGTGCCCTCGACAGCTTCGCAAGCAGTGTGCAGGCCATAAGGTAAGATAAAGATTAAACAATATCATTCGATCTTTCTCAAAGCAGAGCTTTATTTGAAAATGTATGCATGAAAGGAGACTGCATTTGTGTTTGAAATTACATTATTGTCATTATATATGGCCAGTGGTGTAATCTATCTTATTTTATATACTATGTGTACTGTACAGTGGTGCTCATAAGTGTATGAACACATTCTAAAGCTGACTAAAAAGAGGAATAAAAAAATCATCTTTTGGAAATTGATCTTAATGACTTAATTAAAAAAGTTGGAAAATCCAACCTTTAAGGACACCAATTTTCTTTTCTTTTTTATTCCTCTTTTTAGTCAACTTTAGCATGGGATCATAAGCTTATGAGCACCACTGTATACTGTGCTGAACATCCAGGCTATGTGAGACACAAAGGCTAACTTAAACACTAAAGACTTTATGCATCCCTGCCCATTTTAAGTGGAACTGAAGTATTTGTACTATACATGGATACATTGCATATACCTGTGCATCACATAGACAACAATACTGTACAAAGCCAACAAACACATTGGTCTGTTTGCCTTCAGGGACTCCTCTCAACAGCAGCTGCAAGAAGCAACAGGAGCCAAAAGACCCAGAACAGCTTTGAGAGAAGAGGAGAAGCAGAGGATGTCTGAAGAGGTCTGCAACACCATCCTGGATCACACCAAAGAAAGGTTCTCTTTCTCTGGCCACCTTGTGAGTGCTACCTTAGTGCAAGCAGACA